ACCTGTGCTCTAGCTGCCCCACCTGCCCTTAGTCTGACCCTGTCGACCTGTTTGACCTTTCTACACCGCCTGTTCTAGACATTCCCATATTTTCCTTACTCTGCCCCTGTCCTCTACCCGTTGTCAATCCCTGTCCCATGCTCCTCTCCCAGGACCCCGCCCCCCAGCCTGCTCCTGATGCCCCTGCCTCCTAGCCTCTCCTCCCAGGACCTCCCCCCTCAATCTGCACTCCATGTTCCTCCTGTCTGTCCTGTGTCCCTGCCTGCCAAGGGCAGTTGCCGACCAATCCTGGGAGGCTGCAGGATGCCAGGGTGGGGCACAGATGGGGAACCTTAATGGAGACTATGGACAAGAACCTGGCCACCCAGCCTGAGCCCCACAGTCTTTCCAAGTGGGTAAGGAAATTGACTGCAGACTCATCTGTCCTCATTTCCCCCTCCTCCCCTCCCCGATGCTCCCCGGGACATGTGCAGGCTCCTCTCTGTCAACTACATGTTTTATTTTCACAGGAGAGAAAGGAATAAGACTGTTTACTGAAACCCTCCAGTGAACCCCTGGGCAGCGGACCCCTTACCCAAGAAGCAGACGATGCTTACAGTGCTGCACTCATTCACATGTGTACAATACCCCCCCCCAACACACGCACACACCAAGAACCAGCAGGTTGTTTCTGCTGCTTCCCCTCTCCCTCAGGAGACAGCATCCCCTAGCAGCTGCCTGAGAAAGGCAGTGAAGGACAAAGCACAAAGGTTCTGCCCCCATCCTTGGACTTCACCTTGAATCGGAAGCTGGAAGGCTGGCACACCAGGAACCACAGCCTCTGTCAACAATCAAGCTGTCTCCACCCTGCCCTCTACTCTACAAAGGCCCCAGGGATCTGCAGGCTCCCTAGTCACATTCCTTCCTCCACAGACTACAGGAGCCACTTCCTCATGCCAGGAGGCAGAGCTGGGAAGGTTCCTAGAGACCCAGGGTCAAACCCATGGAGACCAAGGTCAAGAGAGAGTCTCAGGAAGTAGTTGCCCCTGTGGTGCTGGCCATCAAGTCACAGGGCTCCACTGACCTCACCCTCCCCACCTTAACCCACCTGGGCTGGGCCTTGACTGTGAAGGTGTTGCTCCCATGTTGCTTCTCTAGGCTGACCAGGACGTCATTGAGGTTCTGATTGAGCTGCAGAAGAGTGAACAGAAGCAGACTTGGACAAGCGCACCTTCTGCAGGAATACCTGTTTCCTCACTGCTGTCCCTGCCTCTGCCAGAAGTAAGCTCCTCCAACCCCATCAGTGGAAGATGAGACCAGACAACCAACAGCATAGAAATCAGGGGACATAAGCTGCACTGCTGAGAGCTATTAATGCCAAGGGTCACCTTTTCTCTCTTGCTGTTAAAAGGGATATCCCAAATGCTACGTAAGAGTCTATTATAGTTTTCACTTTCTCCCAGTTGGGGAAAAGTAGAGCACCTGTCTAACATGTGCAAAGTCTTTGACCGAACCAAAGCCATTGCACAAGTTAGACAGTGCTCTACTGCTGGGCCACATCCCCAGCTCTATGTTCACTTTGGCTTGAGACAAGGTCCACTACATTGCCCAGGCCTCAGCCTTGCAATTCTCTTACCTTAATCTTCCTACTTGTTGGATTTCGAGCACAAGGCACTTCAACATTTTATTTCTTAAAACTCATTTTTTTTTCAGATTGCAGATTTAATGCTCATTAATCCTAGTTATAAGGTCATTTTGCTAGGAAGCTTCCAAACCACCCTACAGCTTCCAGAAATTCCTCCAAGAGGTAAGGTGTTTGTCCCACGAAGTCTGTGGGTCTCATCACTAACATTTCTCTTTTTTTGCTTTGGCCACTAGGAAGTACAGAGATAAATTCTTTTCCTGCTTAATACGTAATTCTGCCTTTTGTGCCTTGGACTAACTTTGCATAAAGGTTTCTTTCAAAAAAAAAACTGCTTTGATTTCTTTCAACTTGTGTATTTATTACTGGGGTACAACTTTAGAGTCAATTCTCTCCTTCTACCATTACTTAAGTTCCAGGAACTAAACTCACCAACCAGGCCTGTGTGATAAGCATCTTTGCCCACTTAGCCATTTCACCAGTCCTAACTGTTGTGTGCTTTGCCTCCAGTCTTTAAGAAGGAGGAGGAAAAGCAGGAAGAAACGAGAGGCCTTAAACAGTAGGGTTGTGGTCAGAAGGCCCCAAACCAGTTCGTTCTCTTCAGCCCCAAAACCTGGGATCCACCATCATCACTTCATTCCTCTGGTTACAAGAGACAAAGTCAAAACAGCAGCCAGGAGAGGAAGAGCTGTCGAAGCAGGTTCTCCAGAGGCCATGTTTCACAGCTCCCACTCCAATACAACGTAAAAGTGTGAGCTAATCACGCCTCCCATACCAGACTCAGGAAGAGAAGCAGCTCATCTCACTATCTCAAGAAACACAGGAGACTTGGTTTATTACAAAAATTCGGTTAACTTATTTATTATTTTCCTACAGGTTGAAGAAAATACCCATCACCGTTTCTAGCCCTGAGATCTCAGAGTTGCCAGAGAGGACGATTATAGTTAAGAGAGGGGGCTGATCATATATTTCAGTAACATGGGTCCTGGCAAGAAAACAGGGCAAGGCAGGGCAGGCTGGGGCTGGAACAGACCCCCCATTCCCATCCCCAGCATGCCCAAGCTCCCCGTCTCTGACGCTGACCCATCCTCTGCACTGCAGAATCACTTTGGCCTACCTTACTCATCTCTTTATGGAAGTTCTCCTCCAGACCCGCGATGCTCTGGAACGTGTTGACATAGAAACCTACACGGCTGCCGGAGGGAGGGGAGGTGATGTGGTGAAAACCAAAGGTGACTGCATGCTGCGTGCTCCGAGATACAGAGCCTTGAAGTGAGTAGGTGGGCAAGGGCCAGGTTGGCCCCCAGGTATTTGGACCCCTGTTGACTTCACCTGTTCCACAGGGATGGCAGCTCCTCCTGTAGGTCCACATTCATCTCCTCAAACACCTTCTGGGCTTTGATGAGCTCCTCCTCTGCCTGGGATGGAGAGGCAGTGGGGTATGTTAGCCTCCTCCTGGAACTCTGCCCTGGGGAGCTGAGGCAGACCTATCCCAATAGGGGGTAACCTCTCCTGCCTGGATGCAAGGCCCAGGGTCTGAGCAGAGCAGACACTAGACTGGATGTGGATGCCCACCCAGAACCTCCCACTGGAGACCTAAGGACTCCTACAGCTAGGCCTAAGGGGACTCTCTGGGAATCGGACGTCTGAGCTGCCATCACCAAAGGAGGGTTTAGAGGAAAGGCCAAAAAGAAGGCTGGAGACAAGGGCTGGGGAAATGGTTCAGTTAGTAAAGTACTTGCAGGATAAGTAGGAGGACCGGAGTTTGATCCCCAGCACCCACATAGAAAGCCCAAGGAGGTGAACACATTTGAAACCCCAGTTCTGGGGAGGTGCCATAGGAAGATCCCTGGAACTCACTGGCTAGCCAGCTGAACAGAACCAATGTGCCTAGGGTCCCAGTGAGAGACCCTGTCTCAAAATATTAATGTGCACAACTTCTCACAGACAATACTGGATCTTGATCCCTAGCCTAAACACACAAGCACACTGGGGGACAGGGGTGAGAAGCAAACAGCCTAGAGAGCTGGAGTACAGAGGCAGACCCCAGACTCAGTGGAACCCTGCCCACATTAACGAGTGTCAGCCCTGAGATTCAGCTGGCTGGCCACTGCTTTCTATGACCCTCCCCCCCAGAAGTTTCCTGCTTGCTTTCTTAGGACCAGAGTCTGCCTGACTTTGGTTTCCAGTTTCTCTTTACTTCCCTGGGGAAGTTGTCCCCACAAATCCCTCTCCTATGACCTATCCAAACCAGGGACCAGTGGCAGTGGCTCAGTACCTCTATGAAGGGGGAATTGAGACAGGGAAGGAGGAGCTGGGCTGAGGTGCCCATGCCCAGTACCCATGGCTCTCTACCTACATCTCTTTCTGCAGAGTGCTTACATCTACCAAGAGGTGGCGCTAGACCCCTGCACCATGTGAGGCTGTGAGACACACACACACACACACACACACACACACACACACACGGGAAGGGAGGAAATGTCTGTATAAACACAAACAATTCCCTTGGGACAAGTCAGATCAGAGCTGGGAGCCCCTCCGCACCGGTCGGGTGCCCCAGCAACACTGCATAGAACAAGGGCAGGGTCCACTTTAAATCTCCAGAAGTCAGGGCCTGAGTCCTTTTCTATGTACCTGACATTCTGGCCTACTAGGAAGCACTCAGAAGGCAGCTATGCAGCTATACCACAAATACTACCCGTTAGGAAGCACTTTGGAGTGACAGAGCAGGCCTTGCAGCCCCCCACGCCCTTCTCCAATCTAAAAGCAAGGAGCTGACTAGAGAGACTGCACTAGTCTTGCAGGCAAGCCCAAGAAGCTGAAGCAAGTCTAGAGAGCTCCCAGGGCCAACCAGGGCCACAAGAAGACAGTTAGTTCTACAAACTCAGCTGGCAGGGGATACACTGTCTCCCAAAGACAATTCCAAGAGCTGCCCACTGGTGACAAAGGCAACTCCAAAGTTGATCCGGTTTTCCAGTTAGCATTAGGGAGAGATGGGGGGAGGGGAATGAGAGAGAGAAAGAATTAGAGAGAAAGAGAATATGAGAGAGGGGAGAGAGAGGTGTCGCCTGGGGAAAATGAACCATGTACAGGCCAGCATTTGAAAAGGGGATCCTGTACCTCAGCCTCCCCTGTTGCTCCCCCACAGTGAATTGGGGGCCCTCTCAAGCAGGGGGGCCCCACCCACACCTGTCTCAGGAGCCCTAAAGCATCAGGTAGACCCCATCCCAGGCCCTAATCCCAGGGACCTCTCCAATGCATTCAGAGTACCCCACCTTGTCGGGAAGGAACAAACATAAATCTGGCTTCAGCTGGTGCCCCACCCCCTCTCAGCCCACAAGCTTCCTGATACTCCTGCTCTACCTCCCAAAGCTACCCGGGTGTTTTCCTGTAAGCCTGTGCCCACAGGCTCTGCATGACCAGCCACCTTGATCCTAACCTCAGTGCCTCTGAAGTTAGCCCCAAGCCTTGGCCTTAAAGAAATTAGGCAGTGGGTCAGGTCAGAAATTAGGCCGGTAGCCGTGTCATGTAGGAGTTCCCTCCCTCTGCTTCCTGAGCATTTGATACGTGGCTGAAGATGATGAAATCAGGAGGTGGCCCAGGAAAAATAGGGCACTGTCCAGGAGAAATCCGACCTCTTCCTGGGTCAAGTCTCCATTACCTGCCTCATCCCTGCTATAAAGAGTCTCCTGAGTCTCAGCAAGGTGGGAATTGAAAACAATGTGGTCCACTTCTCTTGGTCTACCTGGCTAACCTCAGCAGACCCAAACCAAACTTCAGATAGTTCCAGGTTTAGGACTTAAGATTCACTGGCAGGATGGTGGTATGGCCCAGCATCTAGTAGAAACCCACTTAAAACCTTTTCCCTCCATGGAACCTCCAAAGGACGACCCTTCTGGATCCAGGTCTCCCTAATAGGTTTTGTATCCCGGAGAGAACACAGAGTCTTCTCCAGTGGCCTGGTCCTGTGTCCTCTAGCAAGGACTGCTTACATGGAGTCCAGGTCAAGGACCAGGTTAGCCACTCCAGGGCTCAAGTTAGGAGCCCCACTCAGCTATAACCAGCTCTGGGATCCTGGAAGTTAGAGTGCCTCTGGGGGCAATATGTCTCCTCAGAATACCCAGAATAGCTTTGGAGCTCCAAACAGCTTGAGGAATAGGTCAGGAGTCCCCAGAGAGAGTAGACACTCAAAGGTGTTCCTCATTAGGGCAGTAGTAGATGTCAGTCATCTGAAGGAAGCATAGACTTGGGTGGGCGCCCCGGTCAGCCACAACTCCTAGGCCCCAATCTGCCAGGAGACCTCGTCAATTGTTACCTCTAAAACAGGAGTCTCAGAGGCATCTGAAAGCCCCACCTCACCCAACCCTGTGCCACAGGCCTCCAGCTCAGAATCCAGCCCTGTCTTTCTCCAAACCCCAGAAAGAAGTAAAGCCCTCCCTTATCCCAGGGAAGCTTGCAAAGGCTGGGCAGAGAGACACCCAGGAGAGGACCACAGACCAGAAGGCGCCAGCTAATGCAAGGTTAGAAGCCAGTATCACCTGATTTCGGAGCAGGTTAGTTTGAGCTACAAGATGAGCCTGTAGTTTGCCTTGGCACCACTGGGGGGCGGCTTTCTCAAGCAGCGAGACAGGCTGGGGGGCAGGGAGGAAGGGAAGGAGAGAGGTCATGGCAAAGGAGAATGGAGAGACAGGAGGGAGGTGGGAGGAAAAAAAAACAGAGACATAGATAATTAAACACCAAGCCCACAACCCCACACAGAGTCAGACAAGCCAGACCCCATCCAGAGGCCAGCATGCAGCAAGTATAGCTTTTTCCCTCCCCAGGCCCGGAGGGTGAGAAAATAAGGGGAATCCCACCCAAGTGGTCGTGGAAAGGGGAGTTGAACTGTAATTGCAAAACAATTATGAGAGGAGTAAGCAGGGTAGAGGAATTCGCACACAGGGCTCTGCTACCCACCCACTCACCACAGGACTGTGACCAGCTCTGTGACTAGCCCACAGGCTTGTTCCAGCAAGACAGGGTCACATCGGATCCCATGACAGAATTCCACTCAGTGCATTGAGCAAAGTAGCGCCACGCCAGGGAAACCCAAGCTGGCTCTAGTCTCATTCTGGAAAAACTGCCTCAGAGCAGGGCAAAAGGGCAGAAAAAGGCCAGCAACAGCCCCCACCCACCTGCCGAGGTACCCTCAGGATCTTCTGCTCTCTGGCACTGAGTTCACCACACCACCACCTGCAGCTGGGAACCTTGGACTAACCTCTCTGATTCCCTGCCCCTATCCTAGTCCTTACCTTGGCAATTTTGGCTTCATCCTTCTTTTTGGCGGTTTGAAGAGACTCATAGTGGTGCCGGGCACTATCATAATCCACCAGCTTCCGCCCCCGCTTGGCAATGCGTGACTGGGGAGCAAAGAGAGGAAGGCTCATTGGGGCCAGATGCCAAAATCCCGAGCGTGGGCCCAGAGAAAGTAGGCAAGGTAAACACAGCAGGCCTGAAGTAGACCCCAATCTGGCAACAGAGCCTTTTGAAGACACTGGAGCACATAAAGGAGATATCCCTCCCAACCCTCCTAGGCTCCTCAGACTCCTGCACCTCTATGGGCAGAGCACCTAGGGCCTTGGTAGCATCTGTGGAGACTTTATCATACAAGGCTCCAAGCATGTATTCAGTTCCAGCTGAAGCAACTAGGTTTCTGAACATTCAATTCTGAGCACACACACACACACACACACACACACACACACACAGAGAGAGAGAGAGAGAGAGAGAGACTAAGAGTTAACAGGCAACACACACCCTACCAGATACACAGTGTAGGGTCTTACACATCCTCCTACCTAAGGGCCTGCCTGAGGTTACATAAGTGGCAACAATTACTGGGGAGAGGAGATACTCTGGACTGCCACACTGCCTGCAAATTGTACAGGGTGCTCTAGTGATGTAGCTTTTCAAGCTGTCACTCATTCTAGGGTAAGCATAACCCCCAAGAAACTCAACTAGAATCTGGTAAAATCATTTCTTTGGCATATCATTGGTGCACTGTATCACCATCACAATGTCACATAAGCCAGCTGGTGGCTGGTCACATAGAGACCAGTCCGGAAGAGACAAACTGCCAGGCTAAGCAGATACCAGACTACAGGGTAGTCACCTCCCACCTGAGCCAGCCCTACATTATAGGTTCTCCCAGACTCCAGCTCCTTCCACAAGCGCCAAGCCACAGCAAGACAATGGGCCAAGAGGTCTCTTACCTTAATGTCAGGGAACTGGCCCAGGTAGGTGTCCATGGTCAGCAGAGCCTGATCCACCAGCTTCTGGTGGTAGTCCATCCATAGTAGGTCATTGTTCTGAAACACAGGAACAAGAATGCTTCGGAGAGCTAAGCCACACAGTCCCCAGCTCCTGTCCCACAGCCCATCACCTCAAAGCTCTGTGGACTCTCAGAGCCTGGGTTTCCCGAGGTTGCAGTGTCCCTAAGATGACAGCAAGGTTCAAATACAGTAAAGACTGGCAAGGTGAGACGGTGTGACTCATGAGCCCTAACATATAGGGACAGCCACAGTCCCTTTCTCAAACTCCAGTGTGAAGGGTACCAAAAGCATAGCCTGCAGAAAAACGAAGGCAGCTTGGCCAAGGCTACATCACATATGAGTGCTGCAAAATCAGGGTAGCATGCACCAGAAGGTAAGACATTGTGGGGATGGGAGCTGAGGTCAAAAGGGCCCTGGGGGAAGAATCAAGGCCACCTTCCCATGTTTACCTCTGCAATCTTGTTTGCTTCATCCCTGCCAGGCCACTCGGGCTCATATACCTCCTGGAGACACTCACTCAGCTTCTTGGAGGCTTCGTGCATGGCTGTGGGGATAGGGAGAAGGTACATGGACTCCACATGCCATCCCCCATCCAGATATCAGCACCACGAATGTGGTCCAGCTGCCCCAAGGCTCTGCAGCCCCAGTTCCTTGCAGACAGACATACCCTACCTTTAACAGAAGCCAGGTAGGTGCGGAGATCCTTCTGCAGCCGGGTGCCCTCTGTCTGAAAAAAAAAAAGACAGGAACTAGGTCAGGGCCTGGGGACAGTGGTTACCAGCCATCTTCTTCCTATTACCCATCTCATGACAAACCAGGCTTTCATCTTGCCAACATCCACCAACCTGTGTTCTCCTATAATAAGGAACCTCAGAGCACAGCAGCTGTGGCCCTCTGGCCATGTTTACTGTCACTGCTACTCCCTCCATTGGGAGCCCCACAGCTCCATTTGTCAGCTACCACTCAGTGGTGTATGAATGACTAGAAGACAAGACCCCTGCACAGTGGATGTCACACTGAGGTATTGCTGAACACCATAAACACAGAGCACATGAATGAAGGAGTATGAATCTCAATGACAGTGAACAAGTGACGAATGAGCACAGAAACACAGCCAGGTAGGTACAAGGACCAGCAGGCACCTTATTCTGCAATCTTAGGCAGTACCTAGGAACTGGGACTCCCACAGTACCAAAGGAAGGACAGGAGGTTCTTGTGAGCCTTCACAGAGACAATGATGCAGATACCACCGAGAAGAAAAGCCCAGAAGGAATGGTGTTAGCAGGGTGAAGAAGTATAGAAATACTTCAAGAACTCTAAGGGCCCCTAGTCCAGGCAAGAAGGACAGTAGAAAACGCTGTAGAGAATAAGTTAGCCAACTATGAAGCTTCACAGGCTAGGAGAGTAGCAGACCTGAGGCAACGGAGCCAACAGAAAGGATCCAGCCATGGGCCAGTGCCTGTGGTATAAGAAATGGACCAGGAATGCTGAGATGCAAGTACCAGGAGGGTTATGTAACCCTCCTGGTTATGGGTAAGAGTCCTCAAACTACCCAAAGTGCTAATTGGAAGGTTCCAGAAGCCATGGAAGAAGAGAAAGAACATACAGTTTGGGGGTCATGCAGTAAATCAGTATATCTCCCTGAGGCTCAGGAATACAGAACAAGTAACGACCCGGCCTGGCACACCACAAGTGCTTGGGAATGACTCAGATGAAACACCAGTCCCCAGAGCCTTAGAGTCAGGCCTCGGGAGTGGGCTTCACCCTGGGGAAGGGACATACAGCTGGGGTGGTTGTGTCTCAGGAAGCAACCATCTTGCCCCTCTCATCCTGGAGGAGAGGGAAGGAGACATGGACATGACTAGCACAGGAGACCAGCACTCTGACCTGAAAATTATCTCTGCCCACACTGGTCCATATCTGGAAAGGGCATTCAGGGACTGGCCACCTTCCTGGCTCACCCAGCACCCTCTGACCTCTGTCGCCTCCTGCCAGCAGGCCCTTCCTTGTCTGCTGGGACCTTAACTTCTCCCCCTGGTGCTCATAGCTCGGTGTACCATTCTCTCACCATCACCACTTAACAAGGATGCTGTGAGGTCAGCAATGTACTCAGCATCGTACAAAGCCCAGGAGATTCAGAGAGCACCTCTAGCCAGAGGGTTCAGGCTAAGTGGGTAACTGGCTACAATGGCTCCCAAGAAGTTCCTGAAATGTACAGATTTATAAGGTCCCTGCCCCACGTTATATAAGCAGTAACAATGGCTGGGGAGAGGAGATGCTCCAGCCAGGCATGCTGCCTGCAAGTCAGGAAACTCCAGGGATACAGCTCTGCTGAGTCACCAACCACGCTGGGTGGGCTCTTCAGTGCACAGCTGCCATTGAGTCACCCATGCTCGCTCCAATAAACTCGTGGTTCACTCCGCTAGACTTGGGTGGAATCCTTTTATTGTTTTGTCATCTGTACTCTATTTTGCATCTCATGTCACACAGCTGAGGACACCAGCAGTGGCAGTTTAAGAAGAACACGTAAAATACCACATAATAAAACAGAGAGAGTGAAAGGAACAAGATCCCTCTCTCACACTCTTTCAGCCCAGCCCCCAGAGGACAGCTGTACTCTGACAAACATCGGGGATTCATCCAGGAAGCCTGTCAGACCCCGATACTCACAGATGCACAAGCCCTTTATGAGATGACACAGACACAGAACCCACATAAGTCCTCCTGTGCACTGTGTATATCTCTACATTACTCATAATGCAAATGAGATGCACACAGCACACAATTGCTTTGTTTGTCTAATCTTGTTTGTTGTTGTTGTTGTTGTTGATTCTTCCAGAAATAGCTTCACTCTGCAGTTAGTGAAACCCACACACCAGCAACTCACAGATAAAGGAGGCTGACCACCCGACATGTAACCCTGGTCAGATGGAAGTTTGAACACCCAAGTTCAAGACTCACTGAGTACAAATTAAACGAGGAAACCAAAGCTGGACCTAGAAGTGTTGTGAGACAGAATGCAGAGCTCACAGCACTGGACAGGAAGAAGCTCAGCTTTCCAAGGCTTCTCCCCATTAACACCTTAAATGCTTCGCTGTTCAAAATGAGGATTAAAGAAAGTATCTTACTTGATGCCACAGAACCTTCCAGATCCGACTTCTCTTTCTGTTAAGTATCCCTCATCCCAGCCACACCTTTAGCCTCCTTCCTATCTCTTGCAGCACACACCCCTACACTGTACCCAAGCAAGAGGCCCCCGTAGGGTTGGCTATGATTTAATCAATTTACCCAAACCAAGGCCCTTGTGCCTCCCAGACACTGAGTTGGGAGCAGATTAGCAGCACTCCGTTGAGCAGGGGGTTACCTAGAACAGTCATCCTCTAAACAGGACAGCTGGGCAACAGTTCTCTAGAATTTCCTGGGTTCCAATCACAATGCCATTAGAGTCCAGCTGGGAAAGAATATTCAGGGCCACTACTCATCTGGGCCCATAAATGTTAGTAGGGACCTGACACAGAGCCAGAGGAGGCCAAGCTCAGCCAGCCTCCACACACCCCTGCTGGGCCTTCCTCTATTCAGTCCCACCCTAAGCCTGCAGACAGAGGCTCCGAATCTCCTAGTTGTTTTAGGGGGCATTCAGCTTCAGTCCCAACTCTTGCCAACATAGGCTTTCAGTGCCAGGGACAGGCTTTCACATCACAATGAATCCCGGGACCCAGCAGTCTAGAACAGCCTACACGTAAGAGTTCAGCCAGCCTGGTTGCCTGCAATGGCTTCTTGGGATAAAGTAATGTTTGCAAGATGTGTCACAGAACCAACACACAAGGCAGCTCTGATATGAGCCAAGCCTGTACGTTAATAACCAGCCCTAAGCTGTGAGTCCCGAAAGCCCAGAACTAACACCCACTGAAACAATACAAAAAACTGGAACTCTGGAGGCTGCCCCAGGATAGCAGTGCTGTGCAATCTCAAGCCTCTGCATGGATCCCCATTGGCAAAGGAACTCTGAGACTGGCCTCCATGTGACTCTGGCTCCAGTGACCATTGAGTTTCTTGCACCTTTGCTGCACTGGTCAGCAGTGACCATTGCTCTCAAAGACCATCTGGAACTTCCAACAGCACCATCCTCCCAGCCAGCCACAGCTAAAGGACCCAGCAGCATGGGCCAAGCCTGCTCCCAAGCTCCCTCCCTGGAGATGATTCCCCCATAGAAGCATTTTCTGCCCAACTGTTCGCCACTTGGTGAGGTATCTGTTTACACAATACTACCATAATCTCTGTATAGCATGGTGTTGTAAGGGATGTCTGTGCGGATCGATTGAACAGAGTGGAAAGGCAAGCCTCAATCCCAATGGCCTATCAGCTCTGCTTGTTACAGCGACTAGCACCCACTAGGTCCAAAGACAGCCATCCATCTGGGGCACCGTGAAGGGAAGTAACAGCAGGCAACCTCTGTCTCTTCCAGAGGTCACAAGAAGGAGAAGGAGACTTACTGCCCTGAAGACTGGACACACTGTCCACCTTATAGTAACCTAGAGTTAAGCTTGCTATGCTGAGGACTCCGGGACAGGCACAGGAGAAACTGTAGCTCTGGCTTCCCACACCCAGCTCTGATCCCGGTTCTGTAGGCTGGCTGAGGACCAAGCTCACTGCAGCTCCTGGATTTTCTCCCTCAAGAATAGAGAACAGCCCCCATACCCTTCCCAAGCCACACCCCACCACCCCCAATGACCCCTTGCCAAGTCATTCCTCACACACCCCAGACTATTCCAGACCCGTGACCTCCAAGTGAAGATCATCGAGTTGCAAAGGAGACTGCAAAGCTGCACTCCCAAAACTACCCTGACCCTAAACAGACACCAATCCAGGGCAGCCTGAGCCCCAGCCCCGGTGAACCTCCATGGCTATCTTCAGCGCCAGTCTCTGGGCCTAGTCTCTCAACACCCCCAAGAAGTGCTGAGGGAGGGCTTGCCCAGGGCAGAGACCTAGCAAGGGTAACCCTGATGCAACCATAGTGTAAGGCATTGAAAATTAGCATCTGACAGAAGCCAACTGGCAGAAAGAAACCCCTTCTAGCTAAGGTTGACCTGTAATAGAGCATGCGTAAAAGAAAGTGCACGAGGTATAGCCATCTCCATCTGCCCAGAACAAGTCATTGAACTTCTAACTCTTCCCAGCTCTCTTACCCACATCCTCACTCAAAGGAGTTCTCTGCTTCTATCACTATCCATGTGCTGATGGTTCAATTCCTTGTTGTGGAACAAAAGAACTTAGAAATCCCCGGTGTAAACACCGTGGGAAATATAGGGAGTGCTGCTCTGTTGGACCAGGCCACACAGACACACACACACACACACACACACACACACACACACACACACACCAGCTCCTGCCTCTATGCATTCCTTGTCCTCCCCCCTGCTCCCTCCACCAGCCCAGCCTGCTTTAAAGAGACTCCAGAGTCCTCACTCCAAGCTCATAGCATCCAGCTGTCCTTTGGGCTGGGTAAACTTGGAGAAACTTAAAGGACCAGCATCCTAATTTTAATCTACAAGCCCCCAAAACTAGCCATGTGGCCTTAACTGCTCTGAAGCCCAGTGCTTCACCTGACAATAAAGAAAACAGTGGGAGCTGAGGGCTTAGCTCAGCTGGTAGAGTGCTTGTCTAGCACATACAAATCCCTGGGTTCCATTCTAAGCACACATGGACTATGTAGTAGAGCAAGCCTGTTATCCCAGCACTTGGAATGAAGGCAAAGGGGTCATGCTCAATCTTGGCTACAGAATGAGTTCAAGGGCATCCTGAAATACAGAAGACCCTGTCTCAAGAGAAAATCAAAAAAACAAAAAACAAAACAAAACAAAAGGCTGACAAGGCTATGTGTGGCCCATAGTTTTCAAAAGGGTTTTAAAGCTGCCCACGGCCTGAGGGGAACAGCTAACTAGGGACATGTGCTGCCTTACAATAGACTCAGAGGCCAGCGATTCTGACTTTTTGCTTAAGCTTAGGTTTTACAGATGAAGAATCTAAAGTGGCAGAGGACCCCTGTCAGGGAGCCTACTCAGGCCTTGAAACGCCTCCCATTACTGGCCCAGGGGATAAGTAGCCATGGTGGTTCCCAATCCTGCCCTGGGGAATCTCTTGGGTTAAGATTCTCTGGCAGACCAGGACATATCCCTAAACTCTCTCCTCACATGCTCTCCTTTGTCACCCTGCTGCTCCCCAGTCCTCTCCCAGCATGCTTCAGCCCTCTGCCAGCATACTAATTGGCCTCTCCCAGCATGCTGTCACTCCCTCCACATCCCAGGCCCAGGCCAATGAGACCCTTCCCCTGGGTTCTAATCCAGCTAGCTGCAGAGGCTTTCATGGGCACCTTCAATGCCACCCAAGATCTCAGCTATAGATGGTGTACATGACACTGGGGTCTCCCAGCCTGGGCCTACTCCACCACCCCCCATTTCCAGCAGGGCCCTAACCTCACCTCCCATGTCCTGCCCCACTCTTGTGGCCTCATAGTCTCATGGAACTGTCCTGAAGAAGCCATAGGCCATGGGTCAGCGCAGCCTCCCTCCACCCCCAGTCATGGAATGTTGTAGGTCATCTCCATTTGGGATGTTCAAGGTTTTCTCTTCAGGAGGGAAGTCCTCCCTTGCATCTAATTGTTGCTCCAGGCTGCCTACATAACTAAGACTGGACTATGCCCTTGTAAGGGTGCCCTCTGTTTGCTTCCAGGCTTTAGAGCCAAACACACAGCATCTGAATCTACTTCCAAAGCTAGATGGCCTTGGGTAACTGGTCCTACTTCCCTCAGCCTAGCTGCTTGGCCTATGAAAGGGGAACACTGGGACAGCTGCCCTCCAGTGCTATCTGGTGAACCCATGAGCCATCTACAAAGGACCAGCTGGAACCTGCCATTCACCTGGGCACTCATCGTGTCCACATAATGCCTAAGTCAAATCCAGCCTGCTTGGACCTCCACATTAAATGCTGCAGATGCCCCTCTCCTAGCAAGAGGTTCCTCTAGCTCCCACTGGCCTTGACATGTGAGCTTTCCTACAGTCTAGCCACAATCCCTGGCTCACTTTCAGGCTTCCCCTCCCTGTTTCTCACTGTAAGTTTCCCAAAGAACATGGCCTCTTCTCTCTGATAGTCTCGGCTGGGACCAGGCCATCCTCCTCCCCCAGAAAGTCCTTCACAACCTCAGTAACTCACGCCATTCCCCCTTCTGGATTTTTCTACTTCGTAAGTACGGTCCTCACCATCTGCTACCTGGCAAACGTGTTCCACCTTCAGAAACACTCACCAGCTGCTTATTGAAGTTCTGGACACACTGCTCAAACTGCTCATCCTTAGTCTCATCCGCCTTCCCCAGTTTCTGCAGGACCTGCCGGCACAGAGAAAAGGGAGAACCATCAGCTTGACAAAGCACAGTCGCTGGAACAAGGGTGCTCAGTCACTGAAGGGTGGGGCGCAAGGACAAGAGGACTGTCACTGTGCAACGGTCAGAGTGTATCTCCACATTTCTATGTTGGAAAGTTATACTAACAAGGCAGTGTGGGCAGGTAAGGCCCCTTGGAAGGTAACCAGGCCAAGAGGACTTTTTCTTCATGGATGGATAATGGACATCATTATCAATGGATTAGATCAGTTATCAAGAGAGGTTTAGTCATGTGGGGTGCCTCAATATCCACACACGATTGGTTCCAGTCCCAATACCAAATTTCACGGGTGTTCACTCCTTGTATAAAATTGTGTGGTATTCCATAGTAGTGCACACATCCTCCCATATACATATCAGTTTGGATAAGCATCTCTCCTACATATGCCAAAGGCCCATGTGTTAATTTGGCCTCAAGCCTATGGTGCCAGTGGGACGTGGTAGAACTATTAGACGGAGCTTAGTGGGAAAGAGTTAAGTCACTGAGGACATGCCCTTGGAGATCTGACTGGGACTCTGTTCCCTTCTCTTTCTTTTTCATCTATGTGCTATCCCCAAATATGACATACTGGCTCGCCCTGGGCCCAACAGTAACGAGTCGAATCCACTGAGGATTTTACCTGCTACACCTCTAACACGTGCACCAAACAGACCTATCCTCTTTTGTTCAGTTTTGTTTTGTTTGCCTTTTTTAAACTGAAAAACAATTTTTTCACACAATACATTCTGGTTAGACTTTTCCCCTTTCCCAGCAACTCCCAAAACCTCCCACCTCCCTACCCACCCAATTTCACACTTTCTTTTTCTCCCTTTCAAAAACAAAACAAAAGCAAACACACACACAAACACACACACACACACACACACACACACACACACACACACACACACACACAAAGCCCCACAAAATCAGGTATCTAAATATATAAGCAAAGCCAAAAACACACACACACACACACACACACACACACACACACACACAATGTCCAAACTGAACAATATGGGATAAGAGTATACAAAAAGACCATTGCATTTGCTTGCTGTCCTACTGTTGGGCACAGGGACTACCCTGAAGTGTGGTTAATATTCCCAGTGAGACTCCATTGGAGAGAACTAGTTTTTCTTTTTGCAAATGGGTACCAATTGCAGACAGCTTCTTAGGAGTGGGAGCCCTTGTCCCCTTCCCCTTCTCAGCACTGGGACCCCATCTGGCTTAAACCTGTGCATGTCCTTTGCATGCTGCCACAGTGTCTAAGGGTGCATATGTCCTGTTGTGACTGAAGGACACTGTTTTCGTGGAGTCATCCATCACCTCTGGCTCTTACAATCTTTCTGCCTCCTCCTCCCCATAGATCCCTGATTCCTGAGAGGAGCATTTCATGAAGACATCTGATTTATGACTGAGTGCTCAGAATCTCTCTCACTCTCTGCACATTGTTCAGTTGTGAGTCTCTGTATCAGTTCCCATTTCTGATGATGGCTAAACAAAGCAACAGATCTATGGGTGTGGCAGAATGCCATAAGGATCATTTTATTGCCATGCTCCTTTAGTGGAACAGTAGTTTTGGTTTTCCCCTAGGCCCACAGTCTATCCAGTTTCAGATTCTTGGCCACCTGAGCAGTGTCAGACATGGGTTCCATCTCTTCTCAGAGAGTAGTTGATTACTCACTCACACAATGTTTGTGTCACTGTTGCCCCAGCACATCTCACAGGCAGGTCACCACTGTAGTCACATGGTTTATAACTAGGATGATTACCTTTCTCCATTGGTAGTATACAGAGCACCTTCCAGTACCATGAACACTAGTCAGTAGAGGTAAGGCTCTAGTTAGTCAGGTGCCACTTCAATTTCTCTGTGTTCAATGAGATGTGTAAATGCTGTCTTCAGCAATAAGGCCTTACCATCAGTTTCTGACCATGATGGGTAATCTTGTTGATGTGTTCTTAGATTTGGTTTACAAGTATTTTATTGAGAAATTTTGCAACTATGCCCATAAGAGAAATTTGTTGGTTAATTTGTTCGTTTGTTTGTTTGGGAAGACTTTTAATTACAGTTTCTCTTTCACCAGGGGTTATGAGTCTGTTTAAATTGCTTATCTGATCTTGGTTTAACTTTGATGGGATATGTATGTATGAATGTATGTATGTATATCCATTCCTTTTAGGTTTTCCAGTTTGGTGGGGAACAGATTTTCAAAATATGTCCTTATGATTCTCTGGATTTCCTTGGTACCTGTTGTTACATCCCCTTTGCCCTCTAAGTTTGTTCATTTTAAAACTCAATTTTATTGATTTTTCTCAAAGAACCAACTCTTTATTTCATTGATTTTTTGTATTGATTTTGTTTCTATTTTATTGATTCCAGCCCCAGGTATGATTAATTCTTGTCATCTACTCCTTTTAGATATAAGTTCTTTTTGTTCTAGCTCTTTCAGGTGTACTATTAAGTTATTAATATGGTATCTCTCCAAATTTTTATGTAGGCATTTAGTGCTACTAACTTGCCTCTTAAAACAGTCTTTACTATGTCCCATAGGTTTGGCTATGTTGTGTTTTCTTTTTCATTCAATTCTAAAAAGTTTTTTTTTTAATTTCCTCCTAAATTTCTGTCTTGACTCATGTTTCATTCAATAGAGAGTTCTTTAGTTTCCATGAGTTTGTAAGCTTTCTGTTGTCTCATGTGTTATTGAGATCAAGCTTTAATCCATGGTGGCCAGATAGGATGCAGGGTGTTATTTCAGCTTTCTTGTATTTGTTGAGACTTGCTTTGTGCCCAAGTTTCGGAGAAAATTCAGTTTTGGAGAAGAGGTCAGTTTTGGAGAACATTGCCAGAGGTGCAGAGAAGAAGGGAATATTTTGTGTGTGTGCTGGGGTAAAATGTTCTGTAAATATCTATTAGGTCCATTTGATTTATAAAGTCATTTGGCTTCAGTATTTGTTTAGTTTTTGTCTGGATGACCTACCTATTAGTGAGAATTGGGTACTGAAGTCACCCATTATCTCCGTGTGAGGATTGATGTATGATTTTAGTTTTTTGTTTGTTTTTGTTTGTTTGTGAACTTGCATGTTCTTGTATTTGATATATGTTTAGGATTGCAATATCCTTTTGGTGTATCTTTCATTAAATGAGTGCATAGTGTCCTTCCCTATCTCCTCTGATTAGTTTTGGTTTGAAGTCTGATTTGTCAGATATTAAAATGACTACACCTGTTTGCTTCTTAGGTTCATTTGCTTGGAATAACTTTTTCCATCCTTTTACCCTGAGTTAATTGTGAGGTGTGTTTCTTGGATGCAGAAGAAAGATGTATCTTGCCTTCTAATCCAATCTGTTAGTCTGTATCTTATTGGGGAATTAAGATGGTTAATATTTGAGAGTTACTAATGAACAGTGTTTACTGATTCTATTATTTTATTGTTCTGTGTGGGTTTTTTCTCCCTCTTTTAATTTACTCATCTGGTATTATTTATTCCTTCTTCTTGGGTGTGCCTGGCCTCTTCAGACTGAAGTTTTCCTTCTAGTGCCTTCAGTGAGCTGGATTGGTAGATAGAGACTGTTTAAATTTGTTTTTATCATATAATGTCTGCCTTTGTCCATCAATTATGATCAATACTTTTGCTGGGTGTAATACTCTGGGCCAGCATCTGTGCTCTTTCAGACTATTGAACATCAGCCTGGCCCTTCTGGCTTTCAGAGTCTCCATTGAGGAGTCAGGTATTATTCTAATGGGCCTGTCTTTATATGTTATGTCATCTTTTTCACTTGCAGCTATTAATATCCTTCCTGTGGTCTGTATGTTTAGGATTGTGGTTATTATGTGCTGTAGGAAATTCCCTTTCTGGTCTTTTCTATTTGGTGTTCTGTATGCTTCTTGCACCTTCATAAGCACCTCCTTCTTTAGGTTGGGGAAATTTTCTAGGATTCTGTTGAAAATATTTTCTGACCCTTTGACCTGGGTTTCTCCTTCCTCTATTCCTATTACTCTCAGATTTGATCTTTTCATAGTGTCCCAGATTTCTGGATGCATTGTACCTGGATTTTTTTGACATTCAACATTCTCTTTGACTGAGGTGTTCATTTCTTTTACCTGGTCTTCAATACCTGAGGTTCTGTCTTCCATCTCTTATATTCTGTTGGTGAGGCCTGCCTCTGAGACTTTTGTTCGACATTCTAAATTTTTCATTTCCTGTTTTGTTTCTGTTTCGATTTTCTTTAGTGATTCTATTTCTACTTTCATGTCTTGAACTGTTTTCATTATTTCATTCAACCAGTTTTTTGTGTTCTCATTGGTCTTCATTAAGAGATTTACTCATATTCTCTTTAAGATCCTTAAACATATTCATAACTGCTATTCTAAAGTCCTTGTCTTGTGCTTCAACTGCATTGCATTTCTCATGGCCTACTCTGATAGGGTTGTTGGGTTCTGGTGCAGGCATTTGTCTTGGCTGTTCATGTCTGTGTTTTTTGCATTGGGGTCTACACATCTGGAGTCATGATGATCAGGGTGTTTCTAGGTGTTGATATCGTCTGAGCTTTGTTGGGTAGATGTTTTGTTCTTTGGTGTCTGTTGCCCTCCCTGGATCTTAGGTAAATGTGATGGCTGTGGAGACCCTAGTAGAGAGTGCTTCTGCAGGCCATCAGGTAGCAGAAAGGAATGGGGATGGGCTAGGAGGGGTTGTGTGAAAGACCTACAAAGACAGGGTCCACACCAAGAGGCAAGTCCCAGGAAGTAGAGCCTGCAGTAGGACAGAGAATAAGTCTGGGCAGATGGGGATGGAAGGACTAGGGGGATTCTGGGTCTGTAGCAATGATGGAGTTTCCAGTGAGTGGAGTTGGGATGGGAGGAGGGGCTCCTGCAAGCAGGCTGCTATAGGAAGGACTCAGATTAAGTCTGGACAGAGTATAATGGGAGATCAGAGGAGTAATGAAAATTGCCTGCCCCAGTGC